ATGGCCATTATCCGGCAATAACCTTCTCAGAGTCACACGATGTTTTTCCTTCCCTGGCCCTTAGGCAGAAGGCGCAGAGCCCTGTTTTACTTGGGCTGCTAAAGGCACTAGACCAAGAGGAGCGGAGTGTGAGGGGTCAGACAACAATAGCGGGGAAGGCAAAAGCGGTGGCCCTAAAATATAGTTTGAAGGGTTGCATGATCCTAGCGGCAGTTGCCAGACGAGATGGCTTACAGCTCTCAGCAGCAGGTGTGTGTAGCGCCCCAATCCTCCACCCCAGAGATCAGACATCTACCCGATATGTGCCATCGGTCCAGGCAGGTTACTGGATGGCTCGTTGACGATGTTCTACACCCATAAAGTCTGGCTGCTGTTCCTGGGTATCACAGACCCCCAGAGCCCCGATCCTAAAATAGCAGGCCTGCCTGCTTGTCCTGGGCGGGCCAACAATCCCGTGCCTGCCAAGCCAGACCCGGCTGCAGTTCAGGGGTCTCTACAGTGTGCCAAGATTTGGAGAGCGACAGGGGTTGTGCAAGTGTAAGATGTGATGATGTCTGTGTAGCATAATGTGTCTTGTTCCTGACGCGCGGCTGACTCCGGCTGCGGGAAGGCTGAGATCCTGCACAATTAAATAAGATGTCATTAGACAGCGCAGCACTGCCGGGATCGATAGGAAATTATGCAGATTAAACGGCAGGAGATTTTTAAACGGCACTTAAAGGGAGTAGAGCCGAGCTGCGCATTCAAGGCCGGTTAATGGAGCGAACACGTATCGACGTTCCATTTACTGCCCAGCCCCTGGGGAGCCGCACAAGGGGCAGGCTGCCTCAGCGAGCCCAGTGCGAGCCTGAAAGGGGAAGGGGCTGCGGGGCCAGTATCACAGCACCGGGGAGACCAGATGGCGGCAAAAGTCCTCGCCCAGCCCCGGACGGAATTCAGCGGGGAGAAAAGTCCCCAGCTCCAGACACCAGCCTGTTGAGTCCCCACGCCAGACTGCCCGCTGCCCCACAGACACGTGACAGGCCAGTAGATCCTCGCTGGACTCTGTTGTAGTGTGTGTGTGTGTGTGTGTGTGGGGGGGGGTAATGCGGTGAGCTCTGACAATAAAATTGCAGCGTGCGTGAGATGGTTCTCTGGCTGTCCACAATCAGCTCCCTTGACCTTTAGCTGGGAGAAGCCAATGTCCCTGAGTCAGTGCAATTTAGAGCTCGTTATGAAGCAATCGCAAATCTGAGGCCAAAGCAGAGCGAGAGAGCAGGGCCCTAGAGCAGAGAAGCTATACAGGCGCAGCGGAGGAGAGAAGTGGGGATGGGCGACCCGTATAAACAGCTAAGGAAAGAAATCAGCGTGATCAAACCGAGCCTCTCCTTCCTGTCTAGTTGTAGCATTATCTGCATTTCGCAACAGCTTACACCATTCCTGCTGTGGCTGGGCAGAGCCAGGGCAGCCACGACACGATACCTGCAATGACCGTCACTGTCGGCCACCTCCACCAGCCCAGTGCCCAAGAAGCCCAGCGCGCTGAGTACAAACCAGAATTCCTGAGAGCAGAGGGGCAGGCACAGGAAAGGTGCTGCCAGCCGGGGCAAGACGGTGCACTTGAGATGGCAGAAGAGAAAGAGCCTGACATTCCTCGGGGGCTTCCTTTCTCCCCACAGCTAGTCAGTCAGAGATTCGCCCCCGTGGCCAGACCAGGCCCTAATTCTGGGAGCCCCCCCCCTCCCTCCGGCTAGGGGATAGGCTGTGAAAGGTGTCAGCCACCCAGGGGTGCTAACAGCCCATCCCACCCAGACGTTCTCAGAGGACTTATGAGCTGGGGGGGGGGCAATTGGCCGGGGCCCCACGCCCCAGGGGCGCGACTGCGCTCGGGGCTTCAGAAATGTACAAGGCGGGGGAGGCGGGGGCACGTCTTAGTTTCTGCCGGGGAAGGGGGGGGTCTAATGCCGGCCCTGATCGCTTGTGAAATGTCCCTGGTGTGTTCTGAAGTTAGACACTATTACAGTCAGTGCCTTGGGGGCACAGGTGTGGGAGCGGGGTCCTGTGTCCCTCGTGTTACCTTTATTTCACCTACGGTGCCTTTGAGGGTAGATCCAGGCACCTGGGGGGCTTTGGTCCACAGCCTCTCAAGTACTTAGGCTCTTACAGGACAATGAAATAAATGGGAATTAGGTGCCCACATACTTTTGAGGATCTGGGTCTTTCAGCTTGAATCCAGCCTCCCCCCCCGTTTATCTGTGGCAGGGAGGGGTCTTCTGGGGACGGGCGCCCTTTTTAATGGTTACTGCCCCCGTTAGACTGGCACCAGCTCATTGCCACGGCTCAGACTCCGCAGACTCGCCTCTCACATTAATTCTGCTCTAGCTCAGCCATGAGTTATCGACCGAGTCCATCCGTCCCTGCAGCCCAGACACACTCACTCGCCTCTTTGCTTCAGGCTGGCGCCACTGAGCAGCCAGAGCTTTGAGGCTCAGGTTCCCCTCCCCAGCCTCGGCTTCGCAGCTCACATCTGCAGCAAGCCACTCCGCTCTCCTCGTTGGCTGCCTCTGAGCGCTGCTGCCTAACCCGGGCCCTGGGCACCCCCTCCCCTCACAAGCAGCCCCGGCAGGCAGCAGGAAACCGCTCCAATGTACGTGCTCCCGGGCGTTCAGCCTGCCCGAGCACAGCGGAGGCACAAGGGCAGGGCCGTGGGACTCTTTCCTTGCACCCAAATGACCGGTTCACTCCGCGAGGGTTCCTGATGCACGGGTCGTTCCCCCCACCCCACCCCCGCCTGATGTATAGGCCCCTGCGCCTTAGGGACAGAGGCGGGGAAGAGGTGAACCTGGGCACGCAGAAATCTACCTCTCCGAAGGGCGCGTTCCAGGCGGAGTCCCCCAGCTAAAGGAAGGGGGCGGAGGGGGAGTGCTGGCCCTGCAACTGATGGGGGGGAAGAGAATAGCACTGTCAGTGACTGGGAGGGGGGATCAGTGGGTCCTGTGATTGATGGGGGATGGGGAGTGCTGGGCCCCGCTGTGATTGGAGGGGGGAGAAGAGACCCCTGTTAGTGATGGAGGAAGGGGAGAGGCAAGCACCCTGCCAGTGACAGGGGAGGGAGAGCACTGGGACCTGTCAGAGATGGGGAAAGGCGAGCATGGGCCTTTCATTAACAGGGGACGGGGAGGGCTGGGTCCTGTCAGTGATGGGGGTGGGGGAGAGAAAATCACTCTGTGACTGAGAGGAAATGGAGGGGAGGGCTGGGTCCTTTCGGTGATGTGGGAGGGGGAGAGAAAAGTACCCCATGACAGATGAGGAAGGGGATTAGGCTGGGCCCTGTCATGTCACTGTTGAGGGACGGAGGAGAAAAGGCCCCTGACAGTGATGGGGGTGGTGGGGAGAGGATGTGTTCAAGGATGGGTATAGGGAGGAGGGAGTACAGCTCCCTGCTAGTGATAGGGGATGGGGAGCGCTGATCCCTGTCAGAGATGGAGGAAAGTGAATACTGGGTCTTTCATTAACAGAGTAGGGGAGTGTTGAGCCCTCTCCATGTTGGGGGAGCAGGAGTGTAGGGCTCTGTCAGTGATGAGGGGAGAACAGCACCCCATCAGTGATGGAGGAGGGGGAGGGCTGGGCTTTGCCACTGATGGGGGAGAGGGAGAGGAAACCACCCTGTGACTGATGAGGATGGGGAGGCCTGGGCCCTGTGACTAATGGGGGAGGGGGAGTGCTGACCCCTGTCAGAGATGGAGGAAGGTAAGTGCTGGCTGCTGGGTCTTTCATTACCTGGGGAGGGGAGCGCTGAGCCCTCTCAGTGTTGGGGGAGGGGAAGAGTTGGGTTTTGTCAGTGATGGGAGAGGGGGAGAACAGCAACCTGTCAGTGATGGGGAGCGCTAGGCCCGGTCACTGATGGGGTTGTTGTGGTGGGAGAACATTGGGGCCTGTCAGTGATGATTGAGGGGGGTGCTGGAGCCTTGTCACTGACAGGTTGAGGTGGTGATGGAGGGCTGGTCCCTGTAACTGTTGGGGATTGGAGTGTTGGGGTGCTGTGCCCTGTCAGTAATGGGGGAGGGGAGTGGGGGATGTTGGTTCCTGTCAGTGATGTGGATAGGGGTGGTGGAGGAATGCTGGGCCATATCAGTGACTGGGGAGGGGACTGGGGGAATGCTGAGCCCTGTCAGTGACGGGGGAGGGGGCTGAAGGAATGCTGTGCCCTGTCAGTGTGGGAGAGGGTTGGTGGAATAGCACTGGGCCTTTTCACTGCTGGTGGTAGAGGTGGTGGGGTAACAATGGAAGCTGTCACGGATGACTGTGGGGTTGGTGGGGGAGCACTGGGCCCTGTTGAGAGGTGAAAGTAAGCCGGTATGCCCCAGTACAGCATACCAGCAAGAGCCGGTGCGCCGTACCAGGGCGGCCTGGTTTCCCCAGGCGGCTGGAGCCCCAGGCACTTTAAATTGCCACCAGAGCCTCGCTGCTGGAGCCCTGGGGTAGTGGCAGCGGGGCTCCGGGGGGTTATTTAAAGGGCCGGGGCTCTCGCTGCCTCTACTGCCCTGGGCCCTTTAAATAGCCGCCGGAGCCCTGCTGCCGCTACCCCAGGGTTCCCAGCTCTCTCCCAGCGCTCTGCCACAATTACACAGCCATGTTAAAACGGCAGCACTTTAACGTTGCCAGTGTAGACTAGCCCTAAGTTTGCAGTACTTAGAATGCTGTTACTCCCTTCACTCCATGGATTCCCCTCAGGGAGCTGTCTGCATCCCTCGTAGCCATGTTTTTCCAGGGGCCACAGAGGCCAGGAGACCAAGCACCAGTGCTCAAGGGATAATTCACAGTTTTTACTACATTACACGGGAATAAACCCTGCAGCATGAGCCTCTGTATCACTTTCTGAAGGTTGAATGATAATTTACTATACCCATTCTAGTCACCTAAGTCTGCTGCCTAGATACAGCAGTCACATAGAAAGTCATGCAGACAGGCAGGCAGGCAGGCAGGCAGATAGACTCTCTCAGGAACAACTTTACAATCAATTCAGAAGAAACCATTTTATTATTTTTTTCCCAAAGAAAAAAGCAATATAAATATTAGAGTATAAAACTTGCGTGTAGCACATTGAACATTGGTCTATATGGATATAAGAAGGATATAAGCATTTATATAATATATACGTATAATTCAATATTAGACACATTGAAAGGACAAGTGTGTTTCAGTTCACATACACTTAGAGCACAGATCACACAGAAAGAAGATAAAGAGAAATTGAAAATACTGATGTCCACAAGTTATTTACTGAGATAAAAATAACACACCACTAGTACAAAACACTCTCTACACTACCTCAGATTGCTGATTAAAAGGAAATATAAACACTACAATTCATCTACAGTACTTCTAGAAGGGTCACATAATAACTACATTAGTTTGTATAAGCCTTACTAACTGTGTAAACTGTTTCTAGTGCAGCCACCGCAGAGGGTGACTGGGATCAGTACAAAAATCATACACAGACAAGTTCTTCGCATAGACAAGTTCTGTTTCTCTAGACACAAGGAGAAAGCAATTGGCTAACGAGGCATCAGTTAGTGCACAATGCTCTGGTGAATACTGCCGGAGGCTGGGCTGCGTCAGGCCAGGCAAGCACACTGGCTGCTTGGAGAAAGTTTAACCTGAGTGATCATAGAAGGCTGGATCTTCTCAGGTGAGTTATTCATTAGAAGTTAAAACAATCCTGGCATCGCTATCCCTGTATCTTTGTCCTTGCCTTCCCAGGTCTGTCCCACTTACTTTGATATGGGAAGCCAGCACAGTGTAAAGGGCACCCCCCTTCTCTAGCTGAAGAGGGGCTTAAGGGTACAATACAGCCTTCCTCACTGACTAGGTGCTTGTGGGGACTCAATGCCAAGCTGACTTGATGCTAAGGGCACATTGCACGCTCTCTCTTTGCTGTGTCTGGACCAACAGTGAGCAGAGTACATAGCTACAAAGGGTACATAGTGGAGAGACCCTACTTCCTGACAATCCTATTCTATCAATGTGGTAAAAATCCCAATACCAGTGGTACTAACAACAAGGCAAAGTCTTGTCCACATTTCTGACTAAACCCAGTGGATTTTGAGTCACATCTAATTGCTTGTGTACAGTTAGAGTCTGGGCTGGAATGAGTGTGTGGTCCGGCAGTATCCTTCACGGTATCAGAATCCTACCTCTTAGTCACCTGACTGACCTGGGCCTTCCTGTGAGCATCTCCAGAGAAGCTCTCAGGCTCACTGGCTTTGCAGTGAGTGGCATGTGCTCAGCTCCAGTTCTTGGTTCCCTTATCTGTGAGTATGGTCCCTTGGTCTCATCAAATCAACTGTCAGTTACTGAGTATCCAGTTCTGAAGGCCAATGAACAAAGGCTGTTCCTTGGCTGCTCTGCATAGACATGGAATGTGCAAATCTTATCACTGCTCTAGGCCAGAGCAATGACTCTTTATAACACATTGTGCCACTTATTACTGAACCCCACTCCCAGATAGACACTGCTTGGCCTGCACTGAGACTCACTTATCTGACAGTGTATTTACACCATGCTGTACATGCATGCAATGATGACTTCCCTAGATCTGGTGGAGTTAGCTGTCCTATGGTAGATGCGAGGTGAGTATTTTGCATGCAGTTCAATGTGCAGAAATGTGAAGTATTCAGTCTCTATTCCATACAAATAGATCAGAGTTTATTCTCTGATAATATCATTCCTTGGTATAGACTTAGTTATTTCATTGCTTTAAGGAGCTGCAGCTCCTTGTTCTCACAGCAGGGGACTTAGACTTTCTTAACTTTAGTTCCAGGAAAACATTAACTGTACATATAAATATTTACTGCAAAGAATTGAGGAGATGAATTTGCTCTTTAGTGGCCTCTAAATCAATATGGACAGGTTTTGTATAGCTCAATAATGCTAGTGGCATGCTCTGCACTTAGATCTTTTCCACTGCAGTTTGAATGCATTCCCTGTCTCTCAGACATCATGATTTTTGTTTCATATTTCAGGCCATCACTGGTCACACTTAAAAAAAAATGTTTAAAATGCATCTTAGCCTTATTCCCATAGGCTCATGCAGTGTAAACACTTATTTCATTTAGGATAATAGGTAAACAGGAACTGAAGCACTCCCTACCAACTTCGTAACTAGGAATCCATTTCAAGGTTACTCAGGGTCAGATTCACTAATGGAAAATTAAATATCAAAATCTGGAACATGGGTTCTAATCTGGGGAACTTTTTTTTTAAATGATCTAAGGTATATAAATAAAAAAAAATCCATGTTACAATTATTTACACTGGGCAAAGCCAAGTACAAGCCTCATGGCTTTCTTGGACCATTCTGGAGCAAACCAAATCCAAAGACATGTTTAAAAGATTTTACATCCTTGCACATTAAATTACCCAAGTGATAGTATAAAATATTAGTTAGTATTAACAGGGCACTTGGTTTTTGTTTTGTTTTGTTTCCAATTATTTTTCATCATGAGGACTAATAGTAGGAGCCCCTACTCCTAGCTCTGATGATGACATACATTCGTTGTATTTCCTGCTTTTTCATCACAAAATTCACATTCATCCTCTATCCTAAGCTGTGATTTGGGGGAGTGCTGGAGGGGTCTGCCCTGTTGGTCTAAGCTGTTGATGGTCTGTCAATTCTACTTCTTCTCCTTCTTCCCAGACTTCTTCTTGTTTCCACCTGAAGAGCCTGAGCTCTTCCCATCTCGTTTACCTGAGGAGTTGGAGAGGGTGGCAGTGCTGCCGGGGATGTACACATTCTGCCTGTAGTCAGGGACGTGCTGCAGTGTGAACTGGGGGCCATACCTGGTACTGAGGCCCATAGTGCCGGCTCCTCCTCCCAATGTAGAGTTCCCATCAGCTGCTTCTGCACAGGGAACAGGAGGGAAGACCATTAATATCTACAAGGGTGAAATCTCAACTTATTATTAATTATTCCTATTACAGTAGAGGCTTCAGGCATCAACCAAGATCTCGGGGCCTTTTGTGCCAGGCACTTCACAGATATATAGTGAGAGAAAGTCCCTGTCCCAAAGAGCTTGCAATCTACATAGACAAGAAAGACAATGTCACATGGGGGTCAGTGGGAGAGTCAGGCAGTGAAGCCAGATCTCCTGAGTGCTAGTCCAGAGCTTCAATCACAAGATCATCCTTAGATTGTGCAAAACTGTAATGTTTCATAAGAGGATGAAGGGCAGATTAATATACCAAGAGGAGCAGATCTGTTCAAAGGCTCTTGGCAGAAAGGGGGCGATTACAACATGGGAACAGAATGGGAACACAAATGAATTACTACTGATGAGCCACTACACTGACAGTAAAATGAGTTTCTTTGGATAAACAGAGGTAACTTTCTAAACCAAAATATCAGAGCCTTCTATTACAGAAGGATAACTATTTATCAGAGCAGCACAAGACCTGCTGTCGCATGGGTGTCAGGAATAGAGCGCAGAAGGCATACGGGGCAGCAGCAGCAGCTCCAGTAGTGCATATCTAAGAATGGGGAGCAGGGCACAGGGCCAGGGAGGTGGGAAAGCAGGAGAACTCCTATCAACAGTTAAAATCCTTACTTCCACCTCTCCAAAAAATCACTCTCAAAAGAGAGGGGGCAGAGGCAGGTCAGTTCCTGGAGTTGGAACAGTTATTTGGTGCTCCCTGATTAAATGAGGAGTGCAGCATCTGATCATCCCATCCCTGTTTCTGTTCAGGACACGTTGCTGCTAGTAATGGTGCTGTCATTTACATGTTCAGGACAGTGCACTAGGAAGGTGATGGAAAGAAATCCTATGGGCTAATCTGATCTTATTGCTGAACTCTTAGGTTTGGAACACCTACCATTTGCCAGTCTGGTATTGGCACATCAGTCATTGTTGCATGGCTGCTCTAGACCCATCACTAGCTAGCCTCAAGGGGCTAACATAGTCACACTTTGCTCCTTGCCTGACAAATTCAATACCTTTCACCTTGGTATACATCTGCCACCTAATATTCAAAATACTTTCCTTCCCCATCCAGAGAAACCAGAGCATTATAAAGGTATTTAAACCAACTACTCAAGCCATAACTATTATGCACTATGAAAATTCCATCACTGGGTAATGTCATATGTAGCAGTTCTTTCTAACCACTTTAACCCTGGCCCCAGAATTGCTGTAGCCTGGGTCTAATTTGGAGAGTAAAATATGTGGGGTAATAGGAAATTCCTATAATGCAGCAGCACTGACTGGTCTGGGGAAGTTGAGCATAATGTGATAAATACAGCTGCAATAGCTTCTGTCATGGTTCTGTGCTGCAATTCTAAGCTGGGGAGCAGAGCATAGGAGGGAGGTAGATAAGTAGAAGGATTCCTGTAGTGCTGATATTACAGGAGCAAAGTAGGGCACTCCTCTCATGCTGTAATGCTGACTTGAATAGAATGCAGGAGAGAGAGATGGAAGTGGGAAAAGGGGGAAGAACTTCTGTAATGCAGGCTGTGAATCACAGAGCACAGAGAGGACTTGGGGAAGCTGGGAATTCCTGTAATAGTTCAAGGAGTGGCTAACTCACAGGAGTCACCATGCGCATGGACACCGAAGTTACCTACCAGAAGTGATCTAGATCAGAGGTTCTCAAAGCGTGGCCCATGGACCATCATTTGTTTGTGGAATTTTTCCTGATTAGCCATGGAACATTCTGAGATCCATGTACTGGGGGACTGGGTATTTAGGAGGAAAGTTTTTTCTAACAAAATAGTCTGCAGAATGAAAAAAACTGGATAATCACTGATGCTGGTGACTCAAATGCCCCGCTGGAGAAGAACTCTGTTAGCTCAAGAACACCTTGGAGCAGTAAGGCAATCTGTACCCTTGCACTAGCTCCATCTTCCCCCTAGCTCAGGAATCACATGCAAGATGGACATACTTTATCAGTTTTTGGGGGAGAAACCAGCTAGGGATAGAATCAGCACAGGCACACCACTTCCCTGACTCTCTCCTGATTACTGCTGAAGTCACTGGGTTAATAATGGGTCTACAGCATCATCCAACCCAGTAGTATTAGGTGCTTATCCTTAAATAAATCATGCATGGGAGCTACCTGAATAGCTACTGACCTTGCATTCAATAGCACAGATCTGATCTAGAGACTAGAGATCAGTGGGGGTGATAGAGCAAGACTGAGCACTATACGATTGTCCTGTCCAGAATTTTACCCTCATTGTTCTCCTTTCTTCTTTAATCTTTCTTTCAAATTGTATTTTTAACCTTCTTTTACTTTAAAATATTTGCCTTGCTTTTAAAAAAAATGCACAAATGATCTGTGTTCTGCTACTGAAGATGATCAGCTGGTGATGGAGACCTTAATGCTGGCACCCAGCCAGCTCCCACTTGGGGATCCCCTGCTCCCCTGTAACATGGTATCATAATAATGGGACATATTTGCACTGAACCAAATAGGGTCTTGTTTGTAGTATTCTAAACAACGGGTTTTCTTGTTGATTTTTAGCAGTAAAAGGAGAAGAGGCCTGAAGTGTCAGAGGAAAGCAGTGTAAGAGCCCAGGGGACAGTGCACAAGAACTGCTAGTGGAAGCTCACAAGGACTTTGTAAAATACAAAACCATACTGCAGGGAAATGCCATTTTGGACTCTGGTGTGAAATTGGTCAGGCTCTCTAGTGGTTTATGATTTCCCAGCTGGATTATATAGTCTTGGGATACTTGGCTACGTTTCTCTTTAGAACTGATTCCTGAAATCGGGTAGCATTGCTTTTAAGAGGCTGTATGGGGGCAGAAGGCATATACATGTTAATTACATTTATTGCTAATCCACAAAGCTAACTATTTATTCCTTGGTTTTATAGTTCACTCCATGGAGAGTGTTTAAACATCTTCTACCTTCTCATTGTTTTAAAACATACTCAGAGACCTGTAATTGTTAATCTCAACAACAATTAATACACTAGTTTATTAACACATCCTTCAGGTGCTTCAAAGTGTTCATGGGTGAACTAAACACTTTAGATACAATCTCGGATTTGACTGCAGATGAGATAACTGCTTGCAGTTTGATTCTTATTTCATTCCACGCTGAGGGGGTGGGGAATTTTCTCTGTGCTGATTCACTTCATTTCAGCTGGAGACAGACTGGCTGGGGGAGGGGACTTTGCAGTTTTAAGTATGTGTTTTCTGTATCACTTTAAATAGAGCATTCACTGAGGACACAGCAATCTGTCTCCTCAGTCATCATATCATTGCTAGTGACCTACCAACCCACTTCTGTGTCATAATGTTACTAAGAGAAATCATCCCAGCTGCCTGTTGAAAATGTACAGTATTGCAGGCCTTGTGTACTCAGGGGCGGGGGAGGGGCTGCAATCAGGATGCAGAACAGGTTTCCTAGATGAAATAAACATCAGGAGTCTGCATGGTTTCCAGTGAGGAAAGTGTCTGTGAAGTTCACAGGCTGCCGGAGGAGCCAGTTTGCCCAGTCTAAGGCCTTGTCTACACTGTCACTTTACAATGCTGCAACTTTTTCACTAAGGGATGTGAAAAAACACCCCCTGAGCACTGCAAGTTTCAGCGCTGTAAAGTGGCAGTGTAGACAGTGCACCAGCGCTGGGACTCCCCTCGTGGGCAGGGCCGGTTTTAGGAAGTGCGGGGCCCAATTCGAACATTTTCTGCGGGGCCCCGGCAGGGATGACTAAAAAAGAAAAACCATGTAAAAAAAAGCCTTTCATTTCTTAGCAACCGGTTCCCTATAAAAAGTTCTGATTTAAGGGATGTACCACAGTATGTATTTTTTGTACCAATTGGGTTACCATACATCCATATTTTCCCGGATGACGATTTAAGAACCAAAAAGCCTGACATGTCCGGGAAAATACTGATGTATGTTAACCCTACCTAAAGTTCTTTTTTAAAAAGATGGGCCTGAACTAGAAATGAGTTCCATTTCACATGTGTGGGTCCCCGCCACGCCCTGGGGGTGTGGCGTGCACATGTGTGGGTCCCAGCTGCTCCCTGCCCCCCTCATTGAAGCAAAGGGGAACTGCAGGGCACCAGTGGACATGGGGCTGGCTAGCAGCAGGACATGGGGCTGGCTGGAGGCAGGACATGGGGCTGGCTGGAGGTAGGGTCTGGCTGCAGGCAGGGCAAGGGGTGCGGGTCTGGCTGGAGACAGGGA